TTGAATTATTGAAGGATTCTTTGGGCAAAATATTGAATGATGCAGGAGGAATCAAAAGAAGATGGAAGGAATACACAGAGTCATTGTGTCAAAAATAAATGGTCAATGTTCAACTATTTCAAGAGGTGGCGTATGATCAAGAGCCAATGTACTGAAGGAAGAAGTCCAACGTGCACAGATGGCATGACTAAGAACAAGGCTCTGGGAATTGATGAAACACAAATGGAAATATTTCAACAAACTGATGCAGAAGTGGAGGAACTCACTCATCTATGCCAAGAAATTTAGAAGACAGTTACTTGGCCAATTGATTATAAGAGCTTCATATATGTGACCATTCCAAAAAGAGGTGATCCAATGCAATTTGAAAATCAAAGGACAATTTTATTAATATCACATGCAAATAAAATTTGTTAAAGATAATTGAGCAATTTAGTACATTGCCAGATAACTGCCAGAGGTTCAAGCCAGATTCAGAGGAGGGCGTCGAGTGAGGAACATCATCGCTTTTGTCAGATGGATCTTGACTGCAAGCAGAGAATAACAGAAAGATGTTTATCTGTGCTTTATTGATTATGCAAAGACTTTTAATGTTGTGGACCATGAACAAACTATGGATAACAATACAGAGAATGAATATTATGGAAAACTTAATTGTACTCACAAGGAATGTGAACCTAAACAAGAGGCAATTGTTAGAACAAAACAAGACACTGAATGGTTTAAAATCAGGGAAGGTTTGTGCCAAGGTTGTATTCTTTCACCATGCATATCCAATCTGTATGCTGAGCACATAATCTGAGAAGTGTGATTGTATGAAGAAGAATATGGCATCAGGATTAGAGGAAGAATCATTAACAACCTGCGATATGCAGATGATGCAACTTTGCTTGCTGAAAGTGAAGAAGACTTAAAATACTTACTGATGAATTTCAAAGACCACAGTCTTTGATATGGGTAGCAACCCAATGTAAAGAAAACAAAGATCCTTACCACTGGACCAGTAAATAACACCCAGAAAAGACTGAAATTGTCAAAGACTTCATTTTGCTCAGATCATCCTTCAACACGTCTAGAAGCAGCAGTCAAGATATCAAAATAAATATTGGAATAGTCAAATGTGCTGCACAAGACCTCTTTAAAGTATTCAAGAGCACAGATGGCAGTTTGAATACTAAGGTGCACCTGACCCAAGCCATGTTATTTTCAATAGTCTCATATGCATGGGAATGTTGGACAATGAATAAGGTAGACCTTATTGATGCATTTGAGTTATGGTGTTGTAGGCACCATGGACTGCCTGAAGAAAACAGCAAATCTATTTTGTAAGTACAGCCAGAAATCTCCTTAGATGCCGTAGAGGCATGCCTTTGTATCTCATACTTCAGACATAATATCAGGAGGGATCAGTCCTTGGGGAAAGACATCATGCTTGTTAAAGTGGAGAATGAGAAAAAAGTGGAAGACCTCCAATGAGATGAATTGACACAATGACAGTTCAAGCATAGCAATGATTGTGAGATTTGTGCAGGACCAGGCAGTATTTTATTCTGTTGTACATAAGGCTGCTATGAGTTGGTAGCAACTCGATGGCACCTAACAGTAACAACATATGTGCACTTGCAATATATTCTGGAATTAATGAATTGTAATTTATTTTCTTTTTGAATTACCAAATTACCAAATGCAACATCTTACCATTCAGTCTGTCAGCCTTTTAAAATATAGTTTTCATTCCTAGTATTCTTTTAAAGTTGTCCTCTGCAGAGTCTTGGTGTGACACTGTATGATAAACACTGGACTGTTAACTACAATAATGGCAGTTCAAACCCACCAGCAGCTTCTCAGAAACCCTGTGCAGGTCTTAACTGTACTTATGCTTAACCTGTTCATAGACCATGAGGCAAATGTTTGAATAAAACAAGGGGATACTTTATGAATTATAATATGAAGATCTGCATCATATGAAGAACACAGTACTAATATGGGCTCATTAACCTGTGCTATGCAGATGACACAACTTTGCTTGCTGAAAATAGGACTTGAAGTGCTTAGTGAAGAAGATCAAAGACGACAACCTTCAGTATGGGTGACTACTCAACTAAATAAAATAAAAATCTTCACAGCCAGACCAATAATGATGATAAATGGAGAAAGAAATGAAGATGTTAAGGATTTCATTTTACTTGGCACCACCGTCAATGCCTATGAAGCAGCCATCAAAAAATCAAACAATGTATTGCACTGTGAAAATCTACTGCAAAGGTCTTTTTAAGGTGTTAAAAAGCAGAGATGTTACTTTGAAGACT